GAGAATGGATTGATGGGGCACTGGGGGAAGCCAGAGCTCCTGCTGTGTTCGGCTTGTGAGCCCTGGCTGGAGCCACTGCACCCTCTGTGCACTGGCTGCGTTTCCCCAGGTTTGCTGTGAATGTCGGGAAGGACAGCAACACCCTCATGCTGCATTTCAACCCTCGCTTTGACTGCCACGGGGACGTCAACACCATCGTGTGCAATTCCAAGGAGGATGGCATGTGGGGGGAAGAGGACAGGAAGGCTGACTTTCCCTTCCAGCATGGTGACAAGATTGAGGTGAGGCTCCAGGAGCGTGTCCAAGGCCAAGCTTTTTAATGCTGCCCTGAGCCTCTGCGGTGCAGAAGGAGCATGGAAAGGGGAACGAGCCACAGGGGAAGAGTTGGGCAGCTCAAGCCAAGGAATCATCTAGAGCTGTGCTGCTTGGGTCCATGCCCAGCAGCTCACACTCTGGGCTCCTGTTGGAAGCCGTGCACCTCGGAGCAGGATCAGCACTGAGGTGACACTCGGACTGGCTCTGCCTCATCCCACGGATGCAGAAGCTTCCTCCCTGCTGAGCATGGCCTTGGCAGCGGCGGCCAGCTCGCATATTCTGCCCCAGACTGGAGGTGGTGGGGAGTGAGGAAAGCCTGGGAGCTGTGATGTGTCAGCCTTCATTCGTTCCTTCCCTCTCACTTCTCTCTACAGATATGCATCTCCTTCGATGAAACCGAGGCCACGGTGAAGCTGCCTGAGGCGGAGTTCAAGTTCCCAAATCGTCTGGGCATGGAGAAAATCGAATACCTGGCTGTGGAGGGTGACTTCAAAGTCAAAGCCATTAAGTTCAGCTAACAGCTATAGCTTGGTTTGTTTTGTTTTCTGCCCTGTGTAGCGAAATAAAGCGAAACTTGCAATGGCTGCTTCCTCTGCTGTTTCCTGCTCTAATCTGCTTGCTCCTATCTGTGCTACGGGTGGGCAAGGAAGGGATGTGTATCCAGCCATTCTCCTCCTTACACTGCAGCCTTGCAGCTGGAACTGAGCTAGACATGAGCTAGGCAAGGCCTGACTCACTGAGCGAAGCTGCCTTAGCACAAGTTGCTCCATTCACCCTGCTGGCTACACCAAGTGGTCCCTGTCTGATTTCTCAAGGGTAGGACTAATCCCAGCCAGACGCAAGTGTACCAGCTCTGACCATGAAATGCTGCTCCCTGCTGGGGATGGGGGACTGACAGGGAACACAGGGCATGGCTTGTGCTCTTGCCAAGAGCTTTGCTTTCCCAGAATGTGCTCAGCAGTTGTGTGCATTGCAGGCTGGCACTGGTGTACCCGAGGAGCAGCCAAGAGGAGGCAGGCTGGGCTACCTGCACTTGCTGGGGAAAAGATGGGGAATGAAAGGTGAAGCTCGACAGAAAGCTTAGGAATGACTTGAGAAAATCCAGGCTGTCCCTGCTGCTCATAACCTGAGGTGTTGACACTGCCAGAGACAGAGGATCAGGTAGCAGGAAGTTGGGGGCTGCCTATCAGCTATGAGTGACAAACCCTGAGGCAGCCTGTGGGTCAGTGTCTGAAACCCTTCCCTGCTTGAAGGGCTGTATCCAACAGAGTAACCCAGGCCATTTAATCCTGACTGCACTGAACACAACCAGCTGCAGCTAGGCAGATGAAGAAGGAAAAAAGCTTAGCAAAGAGTCGCTTCTGCTTACACCCTCTGTGCTCACGCAGTGCCTTGGAGTGTATCTGCTACTGCTCTTTCCCCACGGCCTGCCACTCATGCTGACCTGAGACAGGGCTGGAGCTGGGACTGCTGTGGCATTTGAGGACCTGATGGCAAGTAAGGAAATCCTGCATGCTGTGTGGAACTGAGAGCCTGGACAGGTTGCTTCTGTGGCTGTGTGGCTGTGCTGCCCGGTGTGGCTTGGTCAGTAAGAGCCTCTGCAGGTGGGGCCTTCTTAGCCAAACGCTGCTCCCCTGCTGGAATGTGATCCCTGCTGGCTAATCTGGGCACAGCTGCTCCTTCAACAGCTGAGCAGCTGGGTCAGCTGCTTGGGTAGGGCAGTACTCCTCTGTGGAGCATTTCAGCCATCCCAGGCTTTTTATGGGGAGGCCGACAGGCTGCCTTGGTGTCCGCAGCGCTGTCCCGCACTGCAGCAGCTGCTCAGAGCTGGGCCCCCCCAGGGCAGAGGCAGGAGCACGGATAATGGAGGGATTCACTCCTGTCCTGCATCTACCCCATCATTTATTTATGGGACAGGAAGCTAAGTGTTTAGAGGATTGGGTGTGTTTATTAGGGAAAGCTCAAGGCAAGTCTTGCTGGTGTGCTTTGCCTTGCCAAGTAGGACTTGGGATTTTTGTGTTGCATGTGGGGTATTTGGGGCTGGAAGCTGGGGAAAAGAGAAGGCTTTTTGTCTTGTTTCTCCCTCTGTCACAACACCTGGCTGAAGGTAATACATATACATACTGAAAATGTATAAGGCCCTGATGTAGCAGTGGCAGAGGAGAGCTTACAGCTCTGTGTGTGTCTCTGTTCCAGGCTGCCCTGGTCAGACGAGGTCTGTGTGCCTCAGAACTGACAAGAATAAATCTAATCCCATTTTTTGCCCTTAAGCTGGCAGTCCTGATTGCCAGGTAGGTTAGCTACAAGTGTTCCTGGCTGTGGTGCTCAGCATACAAAGAGCGCCTTCCTGGGGGCCACCCCCTCCTGGACTTCCCACAAGAATTAGCTTTATCCTGCTTTTCAGTGCTGGCAGTTACCACTCAGGAGACCATAAAATGGGAGAAAGGGTAGGAAGGAAGCGTCCCTTTGCCAGCATTTCCTGCTGCTTGAGTCTTTTCTCCCATGTCCAAGAGCTATAAATAATCCTGTTCCTCTAAGAGACACCAGTAAATGCAGAGTGCCCTGGCTGGCTCCTGGAGTGGTGACAAGGCTTTGTCTCCTACTAGAGCCATGGGGAAAGCCAGAGCTCTGTGGCCTGCTACAGAGGAGAGGGTCACAGCAAATGGGAAAGTGACACTTGTCCCTGCCAAATGCGCTCTCCTGGACCACACAGGGAACTCATGTCAAGATTCCTGGGAGATGTCTGAGCCCTGCTTGATGTGGGGAGGAGCAGAAAGCACCACAACATGGCCAAAGGGTTTTCTTTCTTTTTTGAATTTAAATCCTGTGCAGTGTGCTGTCACCATTTTATTTCTTTACAGCATCAAGGAGAGAGAAAATGGAACCTCAAAACCCACTACAGAACAGCTGTGAGGCTGTGTTTTATAACATGGACACTTAGCTGGGTGTGAGGGAAATAATTCTTAAGTAGAGCAGGCTACTCAGGGAAGTGGTGGAATCATCATGCCTGCAGACACTTAGAAAAGGTGGCGATGTGGCACAGTGGTGGATTTAGTGGTGTTAGGTTCACAGCTGCACTTGACCTTAAGGGTCTTTCCTAACCTAAATTATTTCATGAACACAGATTAAGTGATAGGTGCTTTCACCTCACACCTTGGAAGATGAGAACAAATAACCAATCGTAAAAAAAAGATGAGTTTGGAAGCAATAGATTGGACAGGAATTAAAGTCTCGTGCACAGCTTAGAAGAGCAGTGAGGGCTAAGACAGACCAGCAGCTTTGTCTTCTCAGAAAATAACCTCTCCCTGAGCAGTTCACATTAACCTCACTAGACAGAAATAGGCCATCCAAGTGACTGTGGCTACACGAGCCTGCGTGTGGCACTGTTCGTCACAGCCTCTAAAGACATTCAGAGGACACCGTGCACCCAGGAGCTGGGTGCGAGGGAAGCTGAGGGGCAGCCCCAGGCCAGGCACGAGAAGCCAGCAGGGTCGCTTCCCATGGAATTTACAAGCAAAATGCTGCCTGACAATTTCTTCCAAACGATACACATACAAAATTCACCAACAACTCGGGTACAAAATGAGGAGGCTAACACCAAACCAGCTCTGCCAGAGGTGACTGCAGTGTTCCTCCCTTGTGCCCTCACCTCCCACTCCCTCAGCCCCAATTCCAGCATTTACTAACCAAAGAATATTTTACCACCAGGGTGTGATGGAGGGTTGGGCACATGACTGGATGTTGCTGGGGCAGGATATCCTTGGGATCAGACAGGTACACACCCTGTACCTGTCCTGTCCAGGCTGTGGGCAGGAGCTGAGGGATGACGGCAAGTCCTGCCATGCTGAGGCCCCCACGGTGAGGGCACGCTCCCTCCTTTCGCAAACCAAACACCTGATGCTCCAGCTTTCCAACAAACGTGGATGTTTTTCCCCTTGAATCCCCAACCCAGCTGCATGTTGCCAATCTGCCCCATGAAGAAAAGAAAAATGCATAAAAAATATAGTTTTACTCACCTTTTCTCAGCAGGCTTCAGGCTGAGATGTGTATCCTCCTGCACTGCCTCAGGGCTGGACTCCTGTCTGGCTGCCCCCAGCCCAGCTGTCCCTTGTTAGCCCTGATTGCCACACAGGTGTTGTCCATAGAAACACAGCAGGAAAGATGGTGTCCTAGTTTAGGGCAAATTTGGGGGAGAACCTCTAAATGGGCACTTCTTCCCTGTGTTCGCTCTCAGAGCCAGTTTTAAAGGTGCAGAACTTAATATATAACATAAACCAGGTGATTTGGGATACCAGTTATCATAAAGTCACCCCAGGACAAGTGGGCAGTGAGCCCTGCTGTGGTTTTGGGTGCTGTTGGTGAGGGCTGGGTGTCCAGAGCCCCTCACTAACAGGGCTCCCCTCAGCAGCCCCTAAGATGGTGGTGGGGGGGCTTTTGTGAGGTAAAACAGTTCCCGCCGAAAATTTTGGCGGGAAGAAGCAAGAGAAACTTCTGCTCAGGGCCCCCTTTCTCTCCCAATACCTCCCTTCATGGCTTCTCATATTCCAATTTCATCCTTTCTAAACTGGCGTGGGATTTGTTTTTATATTATTTTATTTCAGTTTTGTTTTGATTAATCAGAGTTTTATTTTACCTCAGTAAAAACACAAGCACCTCAGGAATGGTTCCCTCCATATTCTGTCACACTTTTGCCAGTTCTTACCCTCCCCAGCTGAATTATGTCCTTGGTTTTTGTTTTTTTCTTTTGCATTTCAGTTCTCCAAGTTAATTTAGTGTTAAAATGAAGGATTTAAAAAGTATGGCTGGATTTGCTCATTTGAGTCCCCCTGCTTCTCAGCACAGCCCTAGCAGAAGGCCATGGCCTCGGGCTGCAAACCACAGAGCAAAAAGCTGCCTGGCTCACATGTACTGTTTCCTATATGGTGTAGGGAAAAATAGCCTTTTTTCCTAATCCCAAATCTGGCAGAGCCACATTGACCCCCCTCTCAAGCTTGTCTGAGGGTGCTGAGCCTGGCTGGCTCCGTCTCCCCGACATCTTGAAACGGGCAAGAAGAAAGCAGATTTTTGCAATGGTTTTTGGCACCGACGCGCAGCAAGCTGCACAAAGGCTGGCCACAGACACACATCCAGCTGCACAAAGCAAAGGCTGATTGTTCAGTAACACATGGACAGAAACAGCAGAGCTGCAGGACGCTTGGTTCCTGTGCAAAGGCACGAGCAGTGCTCCTGTGGGAATGCAGGCAAGCCGTGCCACAGTCAGGACACATCCCCTCTGCAGGGCTAAAAAGGGATGAGCAGCCCTTATGGAAACACTGGCTTGGAGGGTGGTTGAATGAGGCACAGAGAAACCAGGGATGGGGTCTCTAGGTGTGCCTCAGTTTGCTCACACCCATTTAAAGCAGGAGCTCTGATGAAAAGCTTGCTGTTCCCTGTTTTGCAAAGGACAGGATTTATGTGGAGCGAGTATGGAGACTATCCAGTCTGCTTTACTTGCTTCTCTTAATTACCAGACTGAACAGTCACGACAGCAGTGGAGTTGTAAAGATGATGGATAAACTGACACATGAACTGTTGTGCTCTGGGTTTGACCAATTTTATAGGTAACCTTCACAAAAGATCTTGTGTGCAAACTTACAACCCAACAGACCCTGGTATGTAAACACTCTTTACTAGATTTAGTCTTGAGGAAAGCATCTGATGTGAATTCCTTGTGACCATCAGTTGCCCAAGGGCTCTGATAAAAAAAGGCCAATTTTAAGTTGGATGAGTAGATTTTCCTAGCGCTCGTATCACGTGCATGTTGCTAAAAGCATGTGAGGCCTTAGTGTGAGCTGGCCTGCTTTGACTGGAGATACTAATTTAAGGGATGCTGACCCAGGAAAAAGGCTTTTCCAAACTAATATGCAAATGTAACGTAATGGTATTGATTTTGTACAAGGGGATTTTACCTGGAACTGGCCCCACGTGTCAGAAGTGTAACTGCTTTATCCTTTTCCTCCAGTCACCAAAGGGAGATCTGTGCTTTCCCACTGTGCCTGCAGCCAGCTGAAGGGGGCTGTCACACCATCCTGCAACAGTCCATGACCTAGCTGGAGACAGCTCTGGAGAAGGTGCTTGACCTAGGTACCATAAAGTGACTTGGGAAGGAGTCCCACCCATTGTTACCTACAAACAGAGGCCGCCCAGGCTGGCAAACACCCATGCTGTCACCCCTGTGGCAGGGTGGGATGTAGGGCATTCCACACCAATATCCAAACCAGGTGTTTCTCTTATAAAAATAAGGCTCAATCTTAGCAAAAATTGCCAGGCTGCTGAGAACTCCTTCCCTGAGATGTGTTTTGGGGAAGGGGTAGCACAGCAGATGGTGCTCACTGTATTTGAGGTACTGGTTTTCTCCACTGCAGCCACTGCAATACAGTGTCAGTTTTAAAAATCTCATGTAACCAGACCCAAAATACGGATTTGTGTCAGGAAGTTTGCAAGGACTGGACAGCAAGTGTAAAATTCCATCCCTGGTACTCCTATCCCATGTAATCACTCTGGGAAATCCTGGGTTTCCACTATCCTCTAGTTTCAGAGCCACAGGAGAAAAGAAAGGTGGGATAAAGAGCAATGAATACACTCCCCTTTTTGCCAGAGGTAAAAGAAGTAGATCTTTTTGCCTGAGAAGTACATCTTCAGGCTTGCCTGATGTTTAATTACCTTTAAATACATATCAAGGTGTACTTCTACCAAACTCAGTAAACTTTGCAGTTAGGAGGGTGATTTTTGAACAAAACTGTGCAAAGAGAATTTTTCCTGCACTTAGCACAAAAACCGTGGCTTTAACTCATTTCTCACTTGAAAATCTAAGCTGTTATAAAAACATCAGTGACTATCACTTGCCTTATTAGCTGATGCTTCTGTGTACTGTGGGAACACACACAGGACTTGCTTTATCCACCCCAAACTTGCTTGAGGTGCTCCCCCTGAAGCCATGTGGGTTCCTGGAGTAAACAGGCAGATCCTGTTTGGATGGAGCCTCTTCCTGACCTGGGCATATACGGCAGGACTTGTGTTTTTCAGGAAAGAACTCACTAAATGGAAAATATACAAACACCTCCCAGATCTACCATGTCTTCTTGAGTTGTTTTGGTAAGTCTAAGATGGAAAGGTGGCTGCAAAAGAAAAAATAAAAATAAAAAAAAAAAAAATCTGCATTTAAAGTGGTTTTAAATCTAATAAATCAAACTGCAGCAGTGGGTAGGATTTTTGCTTTTAGGGCAAATGAAATGTGTTGATTGGATTGAAACAGCTCCCCCCGCTGTTTGCCTGATACTCTACTCAAAGCTGAGCTTTATAAATCATGTTGGTAGAGATCCCTGTCACTCCTCTGGGAAATCTTTCAGGCTGCAGCAGAAACACAGACCACAGCTATGAGTATTCAAAATAAAGACACAATTTCCCCCACATTCCTGCAGTGAATTCCTTGCTTCATGCTAGCTTGGACTCTCCTGAGATGCAGGTTGCCATAAAAGATGTTTGAACTCCAGACTCAGAGGACCACAGGATCCAGAAGAGGAAAAAATTTGTTATTTTCGTGGCCAACATCTCCTTTGTAAGGTCACTTAAAGGTACCTTCAGCATGTGTTGAAACAGGGTGAAGCTGCTTCTGGTAGCCCTTTATTATATTAAAAAACAACCACAACAACAGCAACAGAACCAGGATGAGATGTTTCAAGCTACTGCATGACTATCTTTGGGGTTCCCTCTTTTAGTTAAGGTCTTCACAAAATACAAAATTAAATGTCTTTTCTACATACAGAACAAAGTAGAATCAAGTAATGATTAGAGTATGTACAAAAACTTACACATTCTGTCTTGTTCTTTAAAAAATATAAATATCAATAATGTTCAGTAAAATGGGTTGGTTTTATTTTTAAGGCTTCATTCTTAGATCCTTCATTATTTAATGAGGTGTCAAGTAGGCAGAAAAGGGAGGGAAGAGAAGGGGTCATGTTTTAATTGAAGGTCACGTGTTTAATTCCTGTGAGATTCTTCCTCATCTCTGGCAGGAGGAGATTTCCCTCCACACTGATTTAAATTTCCCGGAAGCAGAGGTGGAAGGAAAGGAAAATAAAACCTTTATTATTGCTATTTTTTTTTTTTTCCTTCATCAAAATCTTGGTTTAGACCTGTCTCTGTCCATTGCCTCTGAAGAGGACCATCTGCCAAGCACTGGGATCACAGGGACTCGGGCAGGGCTGTGTCCCAGCTCCACCTGGGACAGGTTAGAGCGAGGAAGAGGCTGCTGGAGGTGTTTTACCACCGACCCCAGAGGAGGTAGCAAGTGCTGCAGCCAGGGCAGCTGCTGCTGCTGCATCCCTGGGCGTGAAGTCCGTGGGCAGACTTTCCATCAGGCACTTGAGCTGCTCCTGGCCCAGCTTGATTTTGTCGTCGAGCTCTCGCTGCTCTATGAGGAGCGCAGATTTCATCTTCACAAAGTGCTGGTAGTCCTGGAGCTGCTCCTCAGAGAGGTAGTTGCCCAGGATGTCCAAGACCACCCGTTCCCGACGGTCCAGGTTTTCCTTGAGCTCCCGGGCGTCTTCGTGCTGGCCAGCCAGCAGCTTCCGCTTCTCGTTCAGCGAACTCTGCGCACCAGAGACAGCCCTTCAGTACCAGCAGCACCACACTCCCTGGTCCCCCCTGCCTTCCTCCCAGCACTGCCTCTGGAGATGGCTGCTAAGCTCCCAGGCCTGCACTCAAAAGCCTGGGAGAGGAGGCTGCATTCCTCACTACGGGGGGAGTGTAAACCACGCTGAATTGGACTCTGAACGTCCTTGCCAAAGGGAGGCAGGAAACCTCACTTGAAAGCAACAACTACCTGGAAAATCTCCTTTCAAAACCACCCCAAAAATGTTAAAATGTGGCTGTCCTCAACAAAACTGCTCTGTGTCCAGAAAAAGGCTGCAGGATCCCAGCCATTCATACAAACAGGGATCAAGATTCCCAGGAGCAATGTCTGAGCTGCTGCTGGTGCAAGAGCACCAAGAGCACCAAGAGCCCTGTGCTGCCCTCCTGGCAGCCCCTGGAGGTCCCTGCATTGCCTTGGGGGTGGTGACTGCTGCCCCACGCCCCGAGCAGGCCAGGGCTGTGCTGATACGTACCCGCTCCTCGCTGTTGGCATTGTCCCCCAGGCTGCTCAAGACGTTCTCCACGCGGGCCAGGCGTCCCGAGAGGGAGAGCAGGAGGTTCACCACCTTATCCAGATCACCAATGAACATCTTGTACTTGTCAAACTCGTTGGGTTTGCACAGCGTGCTGATCAACAGCTCCACCTCCTCTCCCAGAGCATTATTCATCTTAATGTCTGCGAGCAGGCTCTCCTTGGCTTCCTTCAGGATTTCCAGTTTGTGGGTCAAGCTCCCGATGAGCTCAGCCTGTTGGAGGGGAAGCATTGCCACATTGGTTGTTACCAGCATCACCCTGCTCATGTGGGTGATGACAACAAGAGGATATGGCTGCGGTTCCTGAGGAGCAGGGTCAGGCCAGCAACAGCTGACAAAGAAGGGCGGAAAGGGAGAAAACACTGAAATTCCCCACCTTGGAGATAACCCAAGTAGCCCAATAGGTTGCATGAGGGTATATTTGTTCAATGAGCATTTATAAAAGAGATCTCTGATTTGGTGTTCTGATACCCATCTACCTACAGATGAGTGCTCTTCAAAACCTCCAAGTGAGAAGAGCTGCAGCCACCACTCCAATGTATTCCTGACATCCAGCCTGAAATGCCTCGAACTGCACCAAACAAGTGCCTTGCACACAGAGGCATCAAGGAAATGTTCACACCAAAGATGCTCTGGATTTACTGTGCCTGAACACACACCCATTTTGCAAAAACACTGACACCTATTTCCCTGCCAAAGAAAAGGAGGCCCCCGGGGTTCGGTTACTCCAGGAATGGCAGTGCTGCACATGTGCCAGAGATCCTAATTTCTGTTAGGATTTAGTGGAAAGACATATGCAAAAGCAAGTCTCTGGCCTAGGGCTTGCAATTCTTGTTTCCATTTACTCAGAACTGAGAGCACAGCCAACAGGGGAAGCTCTCTATACTACAGGGAGGGATTCTCAGTGTCTCTAGTTCAGCTCTGTGCTGAGGCACAAACACGGGTGTGTTCATCTACTCTGCACAACACAAACACTGCAGGATGAAACGAGTCCATCACAAGGTGGCCTGAAAATATTCTCCCAAAGTCCTTTTTCCATCACCACTGAGTGTCATTCCAGGCAGGAGGGAGTCCTGCTTTGGAGGAGGAAGGATTTTTGAACACTGGTCAGGCTGGGGTCACTGAGTTGGCCCCGGTGCCCAGGATGGGCTGGCAGTGGGGTTCCCAGGCTGCTGTGGCAGCAGGGAGCACATGGCGCTGTATGGCCAGGCACCACTAGATGGAACACTCGGGCGTGCATTGCTCTGTGCCTGCTCTCAGCTGCCACACACATGCAGAGGCTGAGCAAAAGGCCAGTAACAGTCCCTGAAAACAAACATCCACTCCCTGGAATGACCTCCACCGGCTAGCAGGGTAGCTCAGGGGAGAGGGAGCAAAGGTGGTACTAAATCCCACCTCCTAAGGGTCAACCAAAACACCTTTATGGACATTCCTCCCTCAGAAGTACCCAGAGACAAAACCCAGCCCTTGCCTTCCCTAGGGCTAGGATTAACTAATGCCCCCTTCCAAAGAAAGATCCTCTGCAGCTGCTTGCTGGATCAAATCCTGAGGAGCAAAAGGAAGGATCCACGTTCCATGGTCCAAGTTACGTAGGGAAATCTCTATGGCAGGGCTCCATGGGGTGGTCCCAAAGTCTGGCATTAACCTCAGCAAGTTCTCAGGTGGATGGAACTGCTGGGAACGGGCAGCTGTTCCTCCCTGCTCCAGGAGATTTGTCTTCCAACTGTAGCAGGAGGCTATGGGGCTCCTGACAGTGAGGCACCTTTGCTCTGAAGGCCTGGGAGCTGGAGGGGCCTATCACTTGGGTTTGTGTTCATTAATCAGTGACTCTCCTGCAATCCCAAATACCAGCCAACAGAACTCTTTCAGAGGCTGCCACTCCCCTGGGAGCTGGGTGCAGCTTGGGCCAGATGATGAAAACAGCAAGCAAAGGCCCTGGGCAAATGCTTTTGTTTAGGGACCCACTGTGTATTTGTGACCCAGAATCTGTCACACAGAAAGAAGAGGTGGTGAACAGAAAATGAAATCTGGGCTGTGCTACTCTGTCCATGGCAGTGTGGGATGGTTTAGACTTGGAGGCAGGCATGGCTGCTTTCAACAGGAAGGTAGGAGGTGTGTAAGAGAGCCACAGACAGGCCACAAACACCTGCCTGTGGCCCCCTGGGATGTGGGAGCTAAACAGCATGTCTGTAATTACCAGGTAACTCATGTGAGACAACCGTAGGGGCAAATCAGAAGGCCCTGTGAAAGCCCTGGAAGCAGAGCATGGAAGCCTCCAGCAGGAGCAGCAGGGGCTGTTCCACAGTGAAATGGAGCCTCAGTAAGAGAGCAAAATGTGTCCTCCCCTCCTGCCTGCAGACAGCAGGTGAAATGCGTAAAGTGACTTCACTCAAGACCAAAGTCCTGGGAAAAAAATCTCCAGTGCTCAGTGCAGCCAATGGCTGGACTCTGTTCTTGTTTGCAACCCAAGGTGGCCTTGCACAACTTGCTTCACCTCTCCCTTTTCCTTCCTTGCTGTGGAACAGGGACTGACAGTCTGTATACCCAGCACTGGGTATGACCCAGGCCCGCCTCAGGGTGGTGCAAGATTGGTACTCAATTTGCAGTGAATAATTCAGATTAACTCTCCTCTACAATTTGGGTGACTAACGAAGCTTTGCAGGTGGCCTAATCGCTCCCACGCAATTTTGGGTGCTGCCAAAAGCTGACATCAAATAGAAATCCACTTTACTTCAGGGCTTATTATTATTATTTCAGGAATGTAAGCAGCAAACAGTGCTGTGTGCCGAATTTACCTTTTTCTCATTGATGTCCAGCAGCTCTTCTTCCTCACCTGCTTCTTCTGGCAAGTCCTTGATCTTATTGAGCAGCTCTGCTTTGGGTGCTGAAACGCTGTAGTAAGCAGGACAGGTGACCAGGGTGACAGGAGCTTCCTTTTCTTCTCTCCTACAACACAGTGAAGAAACAGGAAGAGTTCAGTCTGAGCCTGACTTTACTCGGTGTTTAGGTCCATCTCCTCTTTTGTACCTTCCCAGTGATTAGCCACCAGGAGAAGGCAGATTCCTGCCATCAGGGGGTGTGTGTCAGCCGCTGACCCAGCACAGCACAGCCACTGGGTTCAAGGGTGACTGGACACCACACAGGATTTACCTTGCTGAAGGTCAGCCAGCACAGCTCGGCTGGAGATGGCCAGACTGGCCTTACCTGCCATCATGCAGTACACCTGACTCCTGGACAGTTCTCCAGCTACCACTAGGAAGTCTCTGTCCTAAAAAACCCACACTGGGGGTCTTGGGCTGATCTTGTAATAAGTAGGTCCCCTCATCCCTCCTTCCAGATTTTGGCCTCTTGTTATCTCTGTGCCTGCCATTATTTTTATTCTGATTTTACTTTCGTACCTCTGTTCCTTTGCTTTGGACTGAACTGCTTCAGATTACTAAGGTTCAGATAACAAAATCCAATTGTATCTCCAGGGATGCTTCATTTCCTGCTCTGCTGCCAAGCTCAGCACGGTTCTCTACACAGCCCAGAGCGGCGAGCTCAGAGCCCAAACACAAGAGCCTATCTCATGGGAAAAGCTGTTTGGAAATGTCCTGCCAGGCCTCACACCTCTGAACTGCAAAACTCACTCTCACCTATAGACATGCAGAAAATAATTGGCACAGGTTTTTCCTTAGAAGCAAGGGAGCAGGGAGTTCTGCCCAGCAGTGCTTACGTGTCACCCGTCACTGCCGTCCTGCTGGCTCGTGTCTGCGACATCTTCCTCTTCATGTTGTTCTCCTTCAGCACGCTGCTTCCACCAGGGAAAATCCCTTCCATCAGGTCCATGGTTGTCTTCATTTTGGAATCTGGATCCAGGATATCAGCCAGAGACTTGTCTTTATGGACAATTTCTTTTGCTAGAGCCTCTGACTTGATATCCTCTGGGGTTTTGGTCTTTGCCTTCACTGGGGGTGCTGTGCCATTTATCCCAGAGTCCAGGCTGGCACTTTCCAATGCCGGTTCTCTGGGATTACCTTCAGACTGTCTGTCAGTGCTCTGAGGCCCTTCAGAAGAAGCAGGGCACTGGTGCTGCTGATCCACAGCAGATGGAGAGCCAGTCCTCTTTAATGGGGTTGGCCAGTTATTTTCACCGGTGCTGGTGCCCAACCCTGTTATCTCCCTCTCGGCCAGGGCTTTGGGAAAGCTTTTGAAGCTGCTATGGACAGAAACATTCTGTGAGATGAATAGAAACCAACCACCCGGTGCTCACCATGGTGAACACAAGGTAAAGGCCTACAAAAAGCGAGTTTTCCTTTTCTATCACTTGTTTTTTGTGTCTCCCCTCTCATTCCCATATAGAGGGTGCACAGTGTGAAGCCACTGGAACCAGAATTGTTTTGTCCCTTCAGTCTGAGCACTGCTGGATTGTCCTTCCAAACAGAAAGAACCAGTGAACAGCGAGTCACTTTGTTTTCTGCTGGCAGGCCGGGGACATTGCGCCTGCCCACCTGGGAGTGCCATCCTGAGCAGCCTCTATCCATTTGCCCTTGCTATGCTGGAAAAGCTGATTGCTGCTACAACCCCGGCCAGATTCTTCTCAGATGGATATCACAGCATCTCCCTGGGAGTGAGGGAAGCTCTGCTGAGTTAAACCACCTGGGCACCTCGCCCAAAGTCCCATCCTTCAGGAGAATTTCCCTATACAGCCTGACTGTGACATATTTGCATTGTCATTTCTTGGCAGACAGTCACTGTTTCGTAACAGCATTATTTTGTGCCAGGTCCAGAATATATTCTGGGAAATACTAACTGTTTAGAAAAACCCATCATGGATTTTCACAGCAGTCTCTCAAAATCCAGTAACTGGAAGGAGCCAGCAGCCATTCCAGCTCTGTGCTGAAGAGGCAACCACACTGAAATCTGCAGGGAGAACCAGCCCAGCAGTGTTCCCCCATAGTCCCCTGCCCTGGGGGTTTTGGGGAGCATCTGTCAGTGCACCTGCTGCTGGACCCTGCTCCGGCCACATCCCTTGGGGCCGCTCTTGGAAGACCAGCAGTGAGTCTGTGTGTCCCTGTCCCCTGACCCAGGCAGCAGCTGGGGGTCCCACGGCACGAGGGACGAGCCCCGTCTGTCCCAGCCCCGCGTATCTTACTGTATAAGGCCCTGCACCACCCGAGCTGCCGCGCTCCAGCCCGTCCTTACCTCACTCCGGCCTCCTCTGGGAGCCGGGGGGATTTATCTCCAGCTGCCCCATTCCCCTCAACGGGAGGGGGAGGAGGTGGGAATTCATCTGTGCCGTTGGCAGAAGTGCAAGAGCTCAGTTGGGGAAGAGGACGGGATGGCGGTGGCGGGGAGAAGGGCGGCTGGGGAGGCGCGACAAACACCTCATCGTCCTCCTCGTCCTGCAGCGATGGCGGGGGCGTGAGCTGCAGCCCCGACTCCGAGATCCGCAGCTGGGTCATGCCCTGGGGAGAAGGAGTCTCTGGGTCGGAGGAAGTGCTGCTCTGTGTGGGCAGGGACTGCCACCTCTGCGAGGGCTTGGGCCCGGCCGCCGGAGGAGACACCATGGCCCTGGCGTAGCTGCCCTCTTTGGCCCACGCCACTTTGGGCGGGAGGGACCGGTGCAGCAGCCCTGCTTTCCTTCTCCACATCATCTCTTCCGTGGGAGCCTCGGGGGATCTGTCCTGGAGAGCATCCAAAGGCTGTGCCTGAGCGCTCCCGTTGCCCTCGGCGGGAACAGCCTCTCCCTTGGCATGGTGCTGTCTCGGAGCCTGGCTGTCAGCTGTGCTCTGCAAGTCTGAGGGAGCCTGGGCGGGGGTATTAGGAGAAGAGTGGCCAGGCCCAGGAGTAAGGTTAAGAAACAGGGGTTTGAAGCCTTGCTTTTGCTCAGGGTAGTGGCTCCTTGCCTCTGTTGGGGCTGGGAAAAATGCAGAAGTCCTGCTATCTGGCCTGGAAAATTCTGAGAGCTTGTGATTCTTGACCAGTGTGGCAGGCCCGGTGACAACCTCTGGGCTGTGGAGGGGATGGGGATAGTAACTTGTGAACGCCATTTTCTCTGAGTAGCTTCTCTCTTTCTTGCTGAAAGACCTAAACACCAAGAGACAGACCGTGGTAAGATTAGTAACTCATCAATGAGCAGGAAAATTGATTGTGTACCTCCTAAATGGGCAAGTTACCAACGCTATCGGAGGCCAGCGTCACTGCCTGCTGCTCTAAGTGAGGTACAGCTGTGCTTTGAAACTGAAGTGAAATCCTGAGGCAGACCCACTCCCTCTCACCATCTCCCATCATTTTCAGGGTGTGCTACATCACACATGTAGCAAGCAGCACAGCAATGGAAAAAATATTAGGAAAACTTTAACAACTGGCTTCCTTTCCCTGCTTTCAATTTTGTTTGTTACAGGTGGGGGGAGTAGCAATTGTTGTAAGATAGACTATTTGACATTATCTACCATCAAACTCCATTCTCAATTGCATGTAATCTTAAGAATTTCAGCTCTATGGGCCAAATATTCCCATAATGTTATCTGCTCATTTTGGAAAGGTGCCATTAAAATGATTCAACTGTCTCCAAGAACAAAGCAAGGCCAAAAAATGCACTATTTTGACTATGGAGAAAATGGAAATAAGCTCTTGCAGCATTGGAATCCTGTTAGAAGAAAGAACTCCCTCAGACAGGCAGGTGTGACCAACACCAAAGCCAACACATTCCAACTGCAAGCGGATGTTAAGGCTGCAAAGCCAGCAGATCGTATTATTCCTTCCAGATCTATCAGGGTATTCACACATGAGCCTGAGAAACAGCGTCTGGCCTTTGGAGTGAGGATCCTGCTTGGAATCCACAGCCAAACCTATCTGCCTGTCTGGCTGTTTAGCTGGAAAACAAACTGAGCAGTAATAATGGCACTGGCAGATGCAAGAGAAGGTGGCCTGGAACCACGAGGCCATACAACAAAATCCAGTAAAACAAAATAAAGCTCTACTGCCAGTGCATTTTCTGTGCTTGAGATGCATTGTCAAATAATCCCCACACTGCCAATCTGTGATGCTGGAGACTTGGGGCCCAAATTTGTTCTCAGATGTACTGGCACAAATGACGAATAACTCTGTCAAAGACATGGGTCGTTCTGGCTTTATTCTGGTGTGACTGAGAATAGAATTTGGCAGCCTGTGCCTGGGGGTGGGGAAATGATCCAGACAGGCTGCTCTTGGTATTGTCTGTGGTTCCTGGACAGTAGCAGTGTGTATTCTTTTCAGATGCTCAGTGTTTGTCGGGAACGCCAGATGGTGATTCTCTAATTCAGAGCTCTCTCCTACTGTGGAAGCAACTGTGGATTCTAAAACTGGTGGAGCAGTTCCCGATGTCGTGTGACACCTGGGGAGCAGAGGAAGAGCACGTGTGACCCTCCTGGAACAGGAGAGGCAGTAGGGATGGTCCCATCTCCTCTCCAGCACATGGGGCAGCTGTGGCCCAAGGAAACCTAGAAACCTAATTCCTACTGCCTGCCTTGCCTCCCTCATGGGCCCACGCATGGAGAAGGCTTCTCCTACCCTTTTGTTTTACTTTTTGGGAAATCCAATTCCCAGCAAGAAGGGAAAGCAACCTCCCATCACCCAGAAGAAATGTGCTTGTGAAGCATGCAGGATGCCTATGCCGCACAAACATCCCAAAACTGTTAATAACCAATAATCTTTGTGCAGTGAAGCATTAAAATGAGAAACCTGCATTTCGTGCCCCAATAAACTTGTTTTCTGTCTGGGTGTTCAATCCCATTACTTGGAAAATAGGTTGGGGAAATACAAAAAATAAAATGAAGGCATAAGGAGTGACTGAGCAGCAGGATGAAATGCCATCTCTAGGAGAGAAGGGGAGGCAGGAGGAGCTGAAACAGCTGCATTGTTCTCTTAGGAAAAAAACATGGAAAAAGTTACTCCAAATCAAAGTAAACGAGTGTGTTTTAAATAACCCTACAAGGATGTGCCTGAAGGCAGATTGAGTCTCGTTAAAACAACATTTATGTGTTCTTAGGGGCAAAAATGGCCAGAAGTAAGATAAACCAGAGCAGGAGCCTTCCTCTGCTTCACTCCCTGACCCAGAGCTGCATGGAGAAACCTTTGGAGACAGCAGTGTTAACTCCCACTGTGACCACAGAGAGGGCTGGCATTTACTGCAAGTTTGTGAGGAACAGAGCTCCTTTGTGAACAATGCTTTTAGTCCTTCTTGATGGCTTTTACTGTAATGGGAGTTAGCTGTTTGGGCACTCAGGGCTTAGGGCAAACATCTATTTATTATTTAAATGTAAATACAGCACGATCAACTTCAGTTCTCGTTAACTTCAAAACAATCTGGGGCTAAGTGGAGACTTACATAAGTCCTAAGACATTTGAGTTTGTGTGCTTACACTTTTCTATTTTTAAAAACGTTTCTCTGTCCCCTGTTGCTGAGCAAAAATCCTGATGAAGTGAAGCAGCCCAAAGGCCAGCTCCCAGTTGGGCTTGCTAAAGGAAATATCCTGGGTTTAGTCCCAGAGTGGGACGTCGAAGTATTTTCTCCTTTAGGATCCTTCAGTTATGGAATCATCCCATGTGAGTTTCAACAGCAGATCAAACACATTCCTGAAGTTACCTAAGTGGAAATTTGCTGCACAAACATGCTCCACGATGACAGGAATAATCAATTAATGATAATCAATTGATGTCTGTAGTGAAAGAAAACGCTTGTAGCAGCTCCTCCAAAGTCTGCTGGGCACGGCCCACCTGGAACTGTGTTTGTGCAGGTCTTAGCTCTAGACAACCCCTGACAATGGCTGCTGGCAGGGGCATGGCCAGAGCTGGCCCTGCAGTGACACAGGGGACACGGACACACACCCACCTGGCTCCTGCACCGACCACGTAGAAGGGATCCCTCAGCACGGGGCCGAGTTCACTGCTCTCCCTTCGCAGCAGCTCCTGGCGTACCCAGACGGTGTCGGCAGCGGGCAGAAAGCAAAACAAAACACCAAAACACAGATGAGAATGCCTTCCAAAGCCTGAGAGCGAGTCATTCCCCGTGGCTATCCACTCCTTCCTATCTCTAAACAAATTCCTGCAGTGACAGCGCAACGTGATTTGTACCCAGCCTGAAAGGAACACCAAGCACTGTACACAAGGCCCTGAAAAACGAACAGTGAGTGAGGCAGAGAAATCTGCTGTTGAACTGGAGATAAACATTGTCCACAAAAAAATCTGAAAAGGCCAAAAGAAATCTAAAAAATAATAATAGTAATAAATAAATCACTCTGTTGATTTGGCTTTGTCCCCCAAGTTTTTAGCTGGGAGTTTGCACTGAAGATGGATCAGAAACAAACCTAGTGAAGAAAGCGCTTGAACATAGACTTCCCTTTCCAACAGACCCTGTGGATTGGTGTATATGCTGCAAGTCAGGTCAGGATTTAGGAACAGGATTTTCACAAGTGCCTCACTGCCTATGGGACTAATTCTTGTTCCACAGGTGGTTACAGCTAAATCCCTCTGAGAAACAGCCATAAGGGCTCTCCCCTCTTCAGCACCTGAATTAATACCCTGTGAGCAGGTCTGCAGTGCTCTTCACCCTCTTCCTCAACTTGGCTTAAAACAGGCAGAACCCCTGGTTTGGCTGCTGAATGTATGACCAATTAAAAACTAGCTTAGAGGGGGAAATAAATATCTCAAGGACTGTCCTGTACCTCCTGCCTGATAAGAGATGGGCAAGGAAAAATGAACTGGGGCTGCTTGTCATGCAACCTGTCACTGAAAAGTACACTCTGGTGATTTTTCTCTCTCTGGATGTCTGGTTTCCTTGCTGCTTTGATCGGCAAGCGTGACAAAATGGCACAGATGGGCCTGGTGCCTGGCTGGGGTGGAAAAATACTGATGGTGGGATGAGACAGGGGTGGTTCTGGAAGTGCATTCCGGTCACTTGATATTCACAAGCTACTTTTTAAATTCGCTCTATTTAAGGATGTGGCGTGGGAGCTGAGGGCTGCTGAGGGAGGATGTGTAGAATGAAGCACACAATCAGTTTGGGAGGGCAGCTTCTTCCCCCAACCCCGGTTTGGTCCATTTGTGGGATGCTGCCCAGAGCCTCCTCTCATGTCACTCAACTCAGGACCACTTTATTGCTCCTGGATAATCTGCTCCGGGCCAGGAGTGAGTGCAGGAGTAGAATGACTTGTCCTGGAATCTCAGCTGCCCTCTAAGTATGTGAGCCTCTCCAAACACTCAGCCTATTTGGGGTTAGGAGCCTGTCCACACATTTTGGTTGTATGCTCCCTCTCTCTGTGATGAATGGAGCCTGGCATAGGAATAGGGATGAGGCAGCAGACCCGGCAATGTTGTAAATCCATGTGGCTCAACCAGTTGCGGTCTCCTAAATAGGTCTGAACAGATTTCAGCCAGCTGAAGAGCTGGCCTGGGCAGTTGTTCTTTAAGAATTTAGCCTGGTTCTACTGTTTACCATCATCAGAGCCAGTTGAATTCCCCACTTGTGACATCAGTGCCACGTTCCCAACTAAGCAGGGGACATGGAAGGGCCAGGGTCTCTGTTTAGTTCTCTCTGTGGTGTTTCCCTCCAGGGCTGGAGGCTAAACATAATGATTATTTAGCAGTGCCTCTGCCCAGCACTTCCCAGCACTGTCAGGCACAGTGGGAGCCAAGGCAATTCCAAGCAGCCTCTAACCCTCTCTACCAGGAAAATGGACTGAGGCAAGTCACCATCACAGTGGAACACTCCACCAGAGAAGTGCTCAGTGCTTCTCAGGTGCTGCTGGCAGGTAAGGACGGGACACCTCAGATGGGATGTCCAGAGCAGCAAGAACACACCAGGTATGCACTGAAATCTCAGCAACCCTGACACAGCCCAGCAGGGACAGAGCTGAACCCCACCAGTGACCTTTCAATTAAGGTGCGCCAAACTGCCTCAGCACACACGGAATCTGTTTCTAATCCATGGAGTTCTAGCCATGACGGGACATCAGCCTGTTTCCCAACATCCCTCCCATTCCCTGGTTCTGAGAGCCCTGCCTGTGGATGCACACGATCCCATTCCCACGTACCTGGTGTTTCTTATCCGCGGTGGGAGACGACCTGGAGCGTACGTGCACAGGGACTGGCTGATTGTCGTACCTATCGAGCAAGTCTTCCACAGACACCGATTTCCCGGATTTCCTGGCGGTGGAGGGCGCTTCCGAGACCTGCTCCTGCCTCCTGTAGCGAGGCTGGCCCTGCATGGCCAGCAGGTCTGTCTGCGTGCCTTTGGTGAGATCCGACCTGGCTCTGTAATCTCGGCACCTCTCTGGCTTGGGCCGGCTGGTGCCCAGGCTGTCCTGGCGCCCCGGCACCTTCTCATCTCCGCTCGTGTCCAAGCAGTCCATCAGCCCAGGGGGAAGAGTGGAAGACATCCGTCCCGTCCTGGATATCCGCTCTATGGACTCTCTGCGGCGGTAAAGGTTCTGGTCCTGGAGGGAATTCATGCTGGAGGCGGAGGAAAGGCTCTGGCTGTCGGGAGCACCCAGCTGCAGGTAGGAGCTGTGGGAGCGCTCCCGGAGCAGCCCGATGTCCTGCGAGGACGGCCGTCGGCCCGTTTTGCGCTCGATGTAGTCGGCCAGCGCGTTCTGCTGGAGCTGCTTGAGCTCCGGCTTGGACAGGCTGGCTGTGGAGGAAGCCTTGCCCTCCCTCTCGAAGATCTTGCGCCGGTCGGCCACCGTGTTCTCTGGGAAGATAAAATGGATGCTTTTCTTCTGGAAGGAGAAAGGCGACGGCTCCCCGTCCGACATGCCCACCTCGTTCATCTTCTCGGGCTCCGAGTAGGAGCGCTTCTTCTGCTCCGCCGTCAGCCGCTTCCGGCCCCCAACGCGCAGCACGTGCTGCGTCCTGGCGTAGTCCAGGCTGGAGAAGCCTCCTTCCGTGGGCGTGATGCTGTGCCTCTCCTTGGGGGTGTGTGGGGACGCCGCCGTGCTCCTCATGCCCACGTGGGCCGAGGCAGGCCTCTGGGGCACCCTCTTGGGCGTGTTCCCGAACGGGGGGCTGATCCGCCGGAAGGAGGTGGCCCTCAGCACCCTGGACTGGGCATCTTTAATGCTGTTCCTGTAGGCCCTGTTAAAGGAGGCGTCCAGCTGTGAGCCGTGCGCATCCTGGACGTTTTCCTTCCAGAGGATCTCCTTCTCAGGCTCGCCTCCCAGCTGGAATGTGCTTCTACTCCGTGGAAGCTGAGCTGCCCTGATTTGCACCTCATTTTCAGGACACGGGCTGTAGTACTCACTGGCTCTTGCCTGCTTCACCGAAGCCACCATCTGCAGCTCTACGGGGTGCCAGTCAGCCTCTTCCAGCTTCCCGTTCCTGACGGACGGGCTGGAGCCCCTGCCTGGCTCACCGAGCAGCTTGCTCCTGATGTCCTCTGGGCTGTGCATGGAGCACCTCGTGCCGGCGGGCTGGCTCGTCCTGCTCGGCCCATAGTGCTGGCCGAAGGTGGGAACGCCAGCGCTCTGGGGCCGGGGAGCGCTCTGCTCCCGCTGCTCAAACTTGTTGACCTTCTCCAGCACCGAGCAGCGGGGCTTGCCAGCCTCTGGCTTGCTGTAGGGAAAGCTTTGGGTGCTGCTAGAGCTGAGCCGGCTCCTCCCAAAATCCAAGGTCTTTGGGAGCTGAGGAGAAGGGGGCTCTTTGCCCTTTGGCTCTGCAGCGTGGAACAGAGCCACGCTCGTGCCCTCCTCCTCCTGCCTCATGAAGGCCTGTGGGTCCACATCGCTCCACTGCCTGTGCCCCTGTTCCCTGTGATCCTTCTCCTCTCTGCTGCTGCTGTTCGGGAAGGACAGCTGGCTGCTGGAATAAGCCTCGCCTGACTGCGTCTCCCTTAGCTCGGAGCTGCTTTGCCTCCTGGAGCTCTCTGGGATGTTCTGCAAGGAAGAGAAGCCATACTGCTTGGCCTTGCTGTGACCCCATGAGTGGGGAGCACCAGCGTCTCTCTCATTTACCTGTGCGTTGCCGTTTTTGTCCTCCTGGGATCCATGTGTCCAGTCCTCTTTGGGCTGGTGATGGGTTTTCCTCTCATTAGCATCCCTCAGCTGAGGTTGTGGACCCTGGAAAATGGGCTTGGAGGCCTGTGTGGTACCCGTGGTCTCCCGGTGGCCGTGTGCTGCCTTGTAAAGGGGTAACAGCTCCTCCTTTCGCGACACGGCCAGGCAGAGCTCCGGGCCTGCTGCGCTGGGAGGTTTCTGCTGGATGAGTTTGGCTTCGTGCTTTCTCTCAGTGGCAGGGGGCTGGTAGAAGATGTTCGACCTGTTTGTAGTGCTTTGGTTTCCATTCTCATCCGAGCCCAGGGTGGTGCCGCTGGCTACGGCCTTGTCGTAGGAGCCCGGGAGGGCTGGGGAGTACCCACTTTCTTTGGCCAGAGCTGGGTAAAGCGTCCCGGTGCTGCTGGCGGAAGGCCGGGGCACCTGGGCGTAGTGCGGCTCCGGGGAGGGGACGGCGTAGACACCAGTGGGCAGCAGGGGCTGCCCTGGCTGGGCTGCCTGGGAATAGGTCTGCTTGGGCTTCGTGGTGGGGCTGCTCTCCGGGCTCTTCTCCACCACGGTGTGCAGGTGTCCATCTCCGAAGGGCGGTTTCAGCAGCGGCCCCTGCGACAGGGAGCTGACGAGCGGCGCCCAGGCCCCCTTCGGCTGGGTCCGGCCGGGCTTGCTGGGCTCGAGGCCGGCGCCTGAGCCGGGCCTCTCGTGGTGCCTGATGGCCGCGTAGCTGTCGCTGCGCGTGGGAGGCAGGGGCGGCCCCTTGGGGGGCTGGCTCTTGCTGTCCGAGGGGCCCTGCGCCGGCTGCGCCCAGGAGGAGGCCGCGCCGTGCCGGCCCAAGGCGTGGAGCCTGCCGTGGCGGTCCAGGGAGGCGCGGGCGTCGGGAAGCAGGGCCGAGGGCTTCACCTCGTACTCCTGGGAGACGCGCTGCTGGGCGTCGTACACCGTGCGGACGTAGCGGATGTCCGCCTGCCTGATGGCCTCCGGCAGCCCCCCGCGGCACTGCGCGCCGTCCGGGGAGCACGAGCGCTCCTTGCCCGACGGAGCCGCGGGGTACTCGGGGATGCTGGAGTTGGTGGAGAAGGAGCTGTAGGCAGAGTCTCTCTTGCTGTGGAGGTGGGAGAGCTGGTCGATGCTGTTGGTGGATTTGGCCGGGGACAGGTGGCACGGGTGGTAGGCAGGGGAGGAGTGGTCCAAGCTCTCCATGCTGCCCCGGGAGCTGTACTGATCGGGGCTCCTCCTCAGATAGCCATGCTCGTACGCGGAGAGATCGCTGGTGGAGGAGCTGGGGGACAGCAAGAGAAGAGTGAAAACCGGCAGAGGAGAGGCACAACAACTTATAAGTGAGCTCAGAAGCAAGATGTTTAGTTCTGAGATGAAAACCCATATTTGGGCCTTGCTCCATCCCCCGTTTGGAGTCATCCCAGTTCACAAAGAGGAACTGCTTGACATTGCAACACATGGCTCTTATTTACCACAGAAGGGTGGGAGGGAAATACAGACAGAAAGATGGTGCATCTCTGGAGCCAGGGAGGATCAACCCCACCCAGCAAACCCATCCAAAGACCTTGGAAAGCTGAATGAGCACCGATGCCATGGAGCAGGAGGAGGAGGAGGAGAGGAGCATGAGGGGCATTCTGGGGGGGAATCTAATCTCTTTTTCCCATTACATTTCTTTTTATGGAGAGGAAGGCTATGCCCTGGCAGGCTTCCTGGAAATTCAGCTGTCCCAAGGATAGTTTGTTTGCTGCAAGAAAACTAAGCTGACAAGAAGAGGAGAGATGTATGTGCCTGTGCCTGGAGGAAAGTGGGGTGCAACCATAGAAACAGTCTGAGAATTCCCAGGAAGTCTGCACTGCCACCTCTTCTTGTAGCTTAGCAGGTGCAGGTACACCTTGGCACTTTCTCTGAGGTGTCCAAAGAGGACTCATGGCCACCAGAAAAGTGATCAAAAAAAGAAAGATATTCAGAGACCTTTCTATCCATGGGAAGGGACCTCTTTGTGGCAATCACAGTCCCTTTTTTACATCTCACAAGGGGATATTACAAACTTCTGCAGAGTTTGGCTCTGAATATCTGGAAGGGCTTATCTCCCCTTCCAGACTGAAGCAAATACACTGAGGACTGGAGAGTGTAGCCTGAGGGCTTCACTTCCCTTCTCTCTCTTCCCAGCTTCCCTTCCTCAGGTATCACTTTCTCTAGTTCCCTGCTCACTACATGAGCTGTCCTGGCAGAGCCACAGGGAAACAGCAGGAAGAGATGGGCTGTGGCAGGGCAAAGCACAGAGCTGGAAGCTGGCTCCAGATCACATCCCAAACAAGGGACAGAGCCAGGGGAGAAGGCTGCTAAAGATAAGGAAAGGCAGAAGGAAACCTGCTCACAGGAACTGTGCAGAGAGATGCCGAGGAACACAGGCAAGAAGAGATGTGGCAAACCTCAGGACGAAGCTAGTTTACTCATTTAAATGCACCACTCTACTTTGGATTCAAATAACCATCTCCCTGGCAATGCCCAGCACAGCCCTAGCCAGCTGGCCACTAGATGTTCCCCGTGCTCCTCCTCAAGCACCCGGGAGACAGAGCCATGCTGCCAAAGGCTCTGCCAGGAACTGCCTGGGAAGCAAAGCCCCTTGGTGGGAACTGAGCACACTCCAGCATGAGCTGTGCTGAGGCCACAGACCAACACACTTGATTTTCTCCAACCACCTCCTCACTTTCTTTAATGCTCTTTTTTCTCTTTTCTCTCCTCTGCCAAGGATCAGTCTTGCCAGCAGAAGAAAGTGATGTTTCAATCCCACAGGCTATAATGGAGAGTTTCAAACCCTTCTGCCTCTCCGGGGAAAAGCTTTCAAGAGCAGAAATTTAAACTTGTCCTTCCTCAAGCTGCCCTGCACGTTCAGCTATGATAGAGCTGACTCCTGCAGAAAGCCACTGCCAAACCAGGAAATCCCTCCCTGAACTCCTCACCCTGGGAGCACTGTCACTGATGAGCTGCTGGCTGCTCTGTTACACTGACAGACTCTGCTACCTACAGCCTTTTCTTCCTTTTCTTTCAACAGGCCAATTTAGACTTTGGATTTCTTTTCCTTGTCTGGGGAAACAACCATGCTGTGTTTCACTATGGGGGCATCCACAGAAAGCTCTATCAGTGCCCTGGCAGTGGGCTCCCATCTTTGTAGGAAGGGGGATTTTTAAAGCAATTAATTTCCTAGCTGCTAATCACCTCACAGAGCACTCATAGGAGAAAAATAAAGCCACTTTATCTAGGAAACCAAATAGGAACTGAAGCCTTCCTAACCCTAATCTGAACCCTGGCTGTTTGTAAACCTGTCCAGCTGTATGGAGGCCACTGGTACCATTTTCCTGCTACACCTTTGCCCCCTCCCTTCCCTCCACAGCTGTGTGGAGCTTACCTGGAGTGGTAGGACTGATGCCAAGGGGTGCCAAGCGTACCCTGAGATATTTGCATCATGCTGGGATCGGGTTGGTTCTCGGCGAGTTTGGTTGAATGCCAGGAGTGAGGTCGGCCTGGAGTTTCACTCCGCCTAGGCAAAAGCAGAAGGGGTTGCACATCAGCAACAGGCCAGCTCTCCCAGGAAAGATGGGTGTGAACTCAACACCAACATGTAAAACTGCTCGTGCTCGTTTGTGCTCCGCTGCTGAGTTTTTGCCCACCCCCAGCAAGTCCCACGGTAACCACGTGTGAGCGTCCCTGACATCCCCACAACACGCTCCCCCTCGGAGTGTCACCAAATGCCACCAGGGGCTGGAAGCAAAGGGACTTCTGATCTCTCCCTGGTGCTGCTAAAAATGCAGGATGAGACGTGACAACCAAGTGCCCCAGCCCGGCCAGACAGCTGTCCCCAGGGTGTGTCCCCAGGCGTGGCACTGCACGGCTGCCCTTTGGTGCCTTCAGTCTCCAGCTCCAAGGCCTGAGTCTGCCAGCCCTGAGGGGAAAAAACCCACCGACACCTTATTTAAAGCACAGAGTGCTGCAATGGAAAGTCAAAGCAGGGGATTAGTGATTGAGTCCCCTGAAGAGGCCACACAGACTCTCCTTTGCCCCAGCCTCTGGGCTTGTCCTTAATCCTCCTGCTGCTTTCCTTGAGGGATCTCTCCCCTGCACTCATTTCCACAGCTTCTCACTCTCTCCCTGAGAGAACGAGGAGCAGCACTGGGCCCGTGTCCTACTGAAATGTGACAGCTTGCAGGACAATTCCGACTCAATAAATGCTAGAGGAGAATATGACACATCTTTCTTTAGTCTTTCTCTCACTGAAAAATCCACAGTACAGCATGTCCTGAACACATCAGTACATAGATTAAAATGCCCTTGGCACGTAGACACTGAGAGAGGATTCTAGCAGTACTGCCTAAGATTGGGAAAATAAATGGTACAGGGAAGTGCAGAACGTTTAAAATGCTTTTTAGGGTCATGCCCTTTCCTAGTACCAGTTAACATCAGCAGCCACTGCATGGAAAAGCACAGGCAGAGAGTGAGAGGCAGAGCCACTTCCCCAGCATTTTTTCCATACAGATTTCAGAAGTGCTGGTTAATTTTTCAACATCTGCTAAAACAAGGAAGAAGAAGGGATATGCTTTTCCCTTGACTATCTGTTGTGGCAGGATTGTCTTAAGGAAGACTGGACTGGAGGTCTGCAAAGGGCAAGGTGAACCCTAAACCATTTTACCTTTACATGTGTAGGTGTGTTTAAGACAGAGCTCTTCTGTTAAGCTCCTTGCCCAGAAAACGAGGAACCTGGACACTGCCAGATGGGAAGTTGACAAAACTGTTTATTAAGAATAACCCACATTCTTGCCTCTTCCACTGCAGACATTTAAAGACTTAAAGTACTTTTTGTGGAGTACAAGCCATCAGCATCAGTTTTTCACTTGAGAAATTGAATGATCCCTTGGTTTGATTGGCAGAAACAGTGAGGAAGCTGTGTAGCCAATCATCTGACACACAGGTACTTTAAGCCTTTTTGTGTGATATCCTTGTAACCATACAACACGTGGACAGATGTGAATTTTAGTCACAAGACACACGCACCAGCTTACTGGCTCTGTGTGAGATAACCTTGCACTGTATCCACACCTACCCGGTCTTGGAAATGTGGCAGATCCTGATTGATCCCAGGCAAACTGGCAGACTGATACAACCTGCAAATGCAGCAGCTAATGCCTCACTTGAGTGAAGACAAATAAATCATGAGATCTTTCACTGGGGTTACTTTGGTGCAGCTAAGTTGCCTGCAACAAAACCAGGAGCAACAGGTGACGCTTTGGCACAGGAGGCTGTAGGATTTCAAGCTGCACAGCTGTAAGAAGGACAGTGATCAGATAACCTGGGCATGCAGGTCAGGTTGGCATCATGACAAATGCCCGGGAGCGAAGGTACCCGGAGGAGTCGTCGGGACGCGATGCAACGCTGGCATCTGAATGGCAGCTGACTACAGCCCAGGTACTGCCAGTTCACACTGGAGACTGGAAAACCCAAGGGAAAGGTTCACCAGGAACCACCCTGCAGCTATCTCTCATTAGGAAAAGCTGAGTGAACTCTTTCCTGTAATCTCTGGAGACTATATTGCATACAAAACAGGAATGGAACTTTTCAAAGACAATGGCACTAACTCGGCAGATGAATGAGCATCTCAGGCTTTCTTTTTAGTATCACTGAAAGGTTATCTTCTTCTCAAGGTTACAAACTAAAAACATCCAGAGAAGGGTAGTCAGTCTGATTCCTGTTCTTCACGTACTGTTCCTTGCCAGTTCTGGAGTACACAGATTATACATTATTATGCATACATTATACAACCTGATTGCTCTCCAAGTTTGACAGCATCCCAAGCCCAGCATCCTTCAGGAGTGCAAGTCCTTCAGCTTGCAAAGGCCCATCTTTAGCCAGAGCAAACAATCCAGCTTCTTCAAATTGCCATCTGCATTTTTTCCACATCCTTAGAAAGCCAATAAGTGAAAGCCAGAGAAGGA